GGTTCCGAGTGAATTTCGCAAAACGTTTTGTCTTGTCGATGTGCGATTTTCCATCCGGACGTATCTCCAGTCAAATCTTGTGTACAAACAGCCAACGTACTCCAGTGAGATGCGACTTTTGAAGGTTCTTGAAAAAGTATTTTCCGTTGCAACGCGTGTTTATGATTCTGAAAAAAAAGGAAGACTCGTCATGGCTCAACCAAGAATCTGTGATGTTTTATCAAAAATCAAGCTTCAGCGAGGTTTTTTGCAGTGAAGAGATGGAGTTTTTACTGAGGCATGCTTATGGATGCCTCATACAGGGATGCCTACAGGGATGTTCATGGGCATTTTACAGCCATAGATTCCTTAAGAGTCAAGTATATCGAAAGTCTACAAAAGTACCAAGTATACCTAAATATTTTTTAACAGATACCAATTATCAGCTGTCCAAACCTTTCTTTATGGACTCTTCACTAAATATTTTTTAATTAGTTTGTTTTCGTAAGATTCACGCTGAAATATTCTCATTTTAACTGCTCTACATGGTTACATCAGTTTTTTTCGATATTTTCTTCCTTTCTTCCCCCGCACCCAACTTTCCGAGTAATTTTTAATTAATGCAGTCCTCACTAAAGCAGAACAAAGCGGATACATGAGGGATTGGGGACCCCTTGTTCCGCTGATGTTATCTTTTAAGATCATAGCATTTTTCGAAAGAAACTGTGAGCGTTTAATTTTAACTAAACTGTTCGATTTTAGCCGCGAAATAAAACGAGAGTGAAACGCCTCATCGCTATAATGCGATTGTATAATGACTGGATAATGTAAGAAGCCCGTATCTTAAAGTGACCTAATATTCCAGGTTATGGTAATATTATCATAAATATATTCCAATCGCACATTATGGAACTGTAGCAGAGGACTTAAAATTCAGCAGGTAACTTCATCATAATTGTGTAACACTGATAACATTATTTTGACTCGGTTTTTGAATGAACGTGATAATAAGCCTCTTTTACATACAACTTGTCGGGACAAATTATGCATTTACCCCTATTTAATGAATCCACGTATTGTTACGGATGCATTTCAGCAATAATTCCATTTGCAATCCCCTACATATAGCATGTGATCATTATTAGAATGAATATAGATGCTTAGATTTTTTTTTTATCTTTTTTTACAAGCGATAAAAAAGATGGTGAAACTCTAGAAAACTCTATTTATTAGTCCTCCGTGTTTCATCCAGTTAATTTTTTCTTCTTATTCAAACGATCGAAGAGAACCAAATCGTCTGTAGTTCTGTAAATCACGAGGGAATATCTCTGAAAGGGCAAATAAATATTACCAGAGTTTTCGCGTAAAAAATGGTCACCTTAAAAAAACAAAATGTTGGATAAGGCCAAAAATCTTCAACCGCAAGCTCACAAGCTGAAATACGCGATTCCTCACTTTCACCTTCGATAATTGATGGATCACAGGTCAAAAGGGATCTGGTTTTTTGTGACAGAACATAGTATACCTAGGCTAAAGGAAACGACATAAAAATAAATATTTCTAGATCATTGATATTTTTTAATGGTGTCATTGTATACTTACGTATGCCCAGGAGGATGCAAAAAAAGTTCGCAAACTCACTGTGTAAAAGCTTTATCATATTGAACCGTTGGAGAATTGGCGGATACAAAATGCTCTAGATAGATATACTGAAAAAACTTTTGTCGGACTGCTTCCCGTTGATTCTTGATAAGAAATGATAATAATAAATATATAACTGCCTCTTTGCTATTTAAAATTTAAACTGCAATCATAAATCGTCTTCCGGACGATGAAGCGTAACTCCATTCCGAGGTTGCAAAATGTATTCGAACACTCCAATTTTTTGCAAAAATGTACTTGTGCCATTTTTTCCACAATATTTGTAATTTTTTCTTTAGATCAGAGAAAATCAGTGAAATTTTCAGTTCTGATAGCACAAGATTCTCCTGGGCAGAATGTAATTTGCGAGAGGAAATCTGGCAACGCTGAAATGTCGTTACGTTCTTTCGTCCGGATGATACATGTGTTAACTTCCTTTGTTTCACCACAAAAGAGCGTGGAGTTGTGGACCCATCAGCTCAATTTGTTCTTATACGAATATATTCTAAATTGAAGATGAACTTTAAACGTATTCAGCCGTCTCATGGAGGTGTACCGGTAAAAAGTATCCAACAATAAATTGCATCAATAATTATTCCACATGAGTTGTTTTTACAGTTATAGGTTTACAGTGAGACATTCAGAGAGAGTATTTTTACTTGGTTCAAATTTTAATTTTTTTGAATAAAAAGAAAATGGAAAAAACTTGAAAACTAACCAAAGCGACAAAACTAATACTGCATTAAGTATAAACATGATGGTTTCGTGGCCATCCATATGAAACTCTTCCTGGAGGAAGCACAAGTAATTTTTCAATATCATGGGGAAAAAAAATATGAATGGGATTTCACCATGATGTCTATTCAAAGGAACTTGAAGCAGGAGGATGAGGGAAAGGCAGTTCATTCAATTCCCTCGAAATCCGCTGAAAGTAATAAGAGAGTTATAAATATAATACATAAATAAAGTATACCGCTGAAAATGAGAATTTATGAAACCATGCTAAAACAGGTTTATATATTTTCAAAAATCCCCGCTCAGAAAAAATCTCTCCTCCCCCCCCCCCTCATGGTTGATTGGAAGAATGTCAAAAAGCTTAGAAGGGCATTCTATGAATGTTCCTGACAAAGCTGCTAAAATAAAACCTTCCCCCTTACTAACTTGTGAGTAACCAGGAGTTTTTCATTCTTGCTTCGCAGACCAAAACAGAAATTGTAATTTCACCCCTTTTCTCAGTCTGCTTGTTTAACGGTGTCTTGCTCGAAAAAAATGGATGACAAGAAATCAGCCAACTCTGGTATCGTATGAAAGGAACGTTGTCAAATCGGAAAAAAAATCTCTGGTTTTATATTTGCACGTCATGAAAAGTCAAAAATTGTTACGACAAGAGAACATAGTCCTGTCAATAATGAGTCTGTTCACACTGAGATGGATACAACCGCACCTGCAAATGTATGTAAAGGGTAAAATCTCATAAAAATCACGTCGAACATATTAGGAATGTCTAAAATCCTTTCCAAAACGTTCAATTCACGCTTTTTTTTCAAAACTGCATCCGCAGCCAGTTTTTTTAGGGTCCTGGAATCATGGCTCCCCAAAAGAGACTTAAAAAATCTATAGCCTAAATAAACAAACAGTTTTGCACAATGTTTCTTGTCTATATGTGATTTCAATATTTTTCAAGCATGTTTTCCCCTCATTTTTTCGATAAGTAAAGCAAAAAAAAAAATGCTAATCGTGAGTAAAAAAAAAATATAAAAGTCAACCATAGATAAGAAACCCCAAACTAATAGAAAACCCATAAATGAGCGGTATGCGTAAGAAGGACATTGGCAAAATTGCTCCTCAATTTTGGTTCTGTTCTCTTTCGTCTCTCTCTAAGCAAATCTGATTTCTGGCAGCCAGGAAAAACTACCTCATCGGTAAAACTTCGAGAAAAACTTGGCCGGTACATTTCGAAAGCGCATGATACGGACTCCGCAAAGTTTACGTTGAGGGGTAGATTTTAGGCATTTTCCATATCCTTTTCTGAATTTCGTGCGATTTTACGTGCAATAGAGTAAAAAGTGGGCTGTATTATTGTGTGCATACTACAGACCTATTACGAAGAACAAAAGCTGTGAGCAATGAATCCGGCTACTTTACAATCAGTACGCTCCAGAAAATTCTCGAATTTTTCTTCGATAAGGCAGCAGCCCTGAGGCTGGCGATATGTTGGATTTGCGCGGGGAAACTGGTCAGCTGGTCGGCTGGTTAACTGGTCAAACGGCAGAGAAAACGCACTCGTGTGAGCAGAACTGACCTTAAAAAGCGGGTGCGGAAAGCAAATAGTAATTAAGCACTGTAAGCCGAGCCAGACCGGTAGTCAATTAAGATATTTTAACTCAATTACTTTATACACGAGTATGCCTATTCGTGGCTGGTAATGATCGCCAGCAGAACTATTTCGATTGAAGATTGAAATACTGGACGGCGAATGGTTTTTTTCTCTTTTTTCTTTTTTCCTTTTTTTCTTTTGGGACTCTTGATTGATGAAGTTTTGTCACAAGGATGACATAATCCGCAAGAAAAGTGCTCATGTTTTGGAATGAGGACCGAAGAAATAAATCATCTTAATATGTGATGCAGTAGGGAAAATGCGTATAAAGGTGAAAGAAGAGAAAATGAGATATAATCCATTCCTGTGTCTCAGAGGGGTTAATTATTCGTCATGTGGCGCTCGAAGCGTCCAATTATCGAAAAATTCACCTTTTGATCGCAATTTGAAGTTTCAGAACGATAAAGTGGATATTGAAAAAATGGCTTTCACAGTTGGCTGGCGCTGTTGCCAGTCTAGGGAAGAATTTACTTTAAAAGCTTCTTACATGATTAATCAATGCAACTGTGGCTTGAAACTTTGACCTGATATTCTTGAGGGCATTGGAAAGTGTGAAGCATCGAAAACTGGAAATTGATATTTTTTTGAGTTTTATTTTGACGTTTCACTTATTACTCATGCTTGCCTTAGATCTGGCGCAGAAAAACTGTTGATGAATAAAAATTATGGACGCAGTGCGCTTATGTCGTGCTCACTTTTGGATCAATGACTGTTTTCGAAAAATACGTATCTACGCACTGCATCGATTTAAATTCAACGTCGCATTTGGAGATTTTCGACCACAGCCATCGAGATACTCGAAGTGTACCAAAAAACGACAAACCGGCCAGTTTTCTCCCGGTTTGTTATCTTTTTTAAGTCGTAAATAAAATTGTGTTGTCTCGTAGCCGCCGGGTCGATTTTGCGAACTCTCTTCAGATGCTGTGTTTTCAGTTTAATGTTTTGCCAATTAAATTTTCGTAGAAACGAGCCGCTGCTGACCTACAAACTTGTTTGTTTTCAGGGGAACTGTGGGTGTTGACGGACGCGTGTAGCGAGAAAAAAATTCGTTACGTGGAAGTGCGTGACGGTCAACTGTTGGTGTTCCCAGCGTTTTCCTCAAGACGCTTGCCCGAGTGGCGGCTGCCCCTTTATGATCTCAACCTTCTCCCCTACCCGTTAGGCAACCCGTTTTGCTTCAGTTTTTCCAGGAGGGACCACTCCACACCCGTCGCTATTTTCCAAGTGAGTACCTCTGTCATATTCTTCTTCAGACCTACTCGTGACGTCTCTTAAAAAGGCATCGATGTGAACACCTACTGAAATTCTTCAGTATACCGAGGGCTAAGGAATAATACCGCTTGCCTGACAATTTTGGCGAAAATGAGTTAGCAACTTTTGCTGCATTTTTCAGTATTAAATACGCAAGCGGAGAGGACGTCCAGCCAAACGGTGGGTAGAGGGCATCCGTGAAGAGATGGAGAGATGCCAGCTTCCGGAGGATCTCTACCATGACAGATTCCTGTGGAGAGTAGGCGTCGCAGAGCGCCCTAGCGCGCCGTAAAAGCGGCTTATATATAGATACAAATACGCAAGCTGATGTTTTTAGCTTTTTCCAATTCCGCATGGGAGCGTTAAGAGACGCTGACATTTATTTAAAAAAATGCAAATCTAACCACCAAATTAAAAAATGGCGAAGTTTTTCATTTGCTCTGCAAAATTGCCAGTGAGCAGATAGGCGGTAATGTTCCTTATTCATCGATAGCTGAAAATAATGCTATCCGGAGTGTCCCCTTCCGAGTCCCTATGTACTCGAGTAATATGATTAGAAAATTAGTGATATCTGCTCCTGAGCGCGGAGTTGATTCTATGTAAAGTTAATTCCGACCTGTAAAAGCGAAATCCTTTTAGTGAAAACAGGAGATTCTACTTTACACTGAGATCAATCTGGTTTTTGGGGAGAAATATACAGGGTGATACAAAAGTTCCGATCCACCCCTATAACCCGTAGAGTTCTTGTCGCTTTTTAGGGTGGTCCCTTAAAAATTTTGGTCAGTCCAAAAAGTCGCTCTCTTTGACCTATAGGAGCACATACGAGCATATTTCGAGTCTCTGTCTCAATGTATCTAAAAGTTATAGAGATGGCGCCGGACTTTTGGATCACTCTATATATTCCAGAGTTAAATGTACTCCAGATTTCAAGTTCATGGGAGATGGTCGACATATGATTAAAAATTCCTGAGAATTGCAAAATTACCTTTTTCACGGAGGGGGTCAAGTTCCGCTAAAGAATTGACTATTTATATTCAACATGCAAATCGCTTGCTATTTAGGGTCGGACAGTGCCGATCGCCAGAAATACACCTATTTGTCCCTTCTGCTTCTTATAGTTCTCTTCTATTTCCGGACTTAAAGCGAATCAATTTTTAGAATCACTTGCTCGTCTGCCTGCGCGAAGAAGTTTCCAATAGCCACGTAGCTCTCGCAGTAGACGAGGGCTTGAGTTATTAAAATTCAAATCACGTTGTGCGCGAAAATCATGATCGAACTTATAACATCGGCCAGCCAAAATTCATTCCACGCAGCCGCGTTTCCAACGCCCACGCTCAAAATCGGCTATTGTGGAGTGGAGAAAAGAATATTATCGTCCCGAGTTGTATTTTTTGAATACTCCACTACAACACTGAAGAAAAAATCACGGTGTATTTACTAAGAAAAGGGTAAAATTACCAAGAATTCAAAGTTCTATTTGATCCCAGTTTTTTCTTGGTAAAATTACCATTTATGGAATTGGTAATTTTACCGAGAAATCTCGGTAAAATTATTGAACTTTCTAGGTAATTTTACTGGACCTTGGTAAAAACGCCAATATTTTTTATCGACTGTGGTAGAAATACCGAGATAAAATGGCAAAGTTACCAGGAATTGATTACCAATAAAAGTGGCATTCTTACCTGAAAAAACAGTAAAAATACCGGTTTTTAGGTAAGCTTACGAGTCTGTCTTGGTAAAATTACCAATAATTGGTAAAAAAAGTGAGATGGTAAAGGTACCAACGGACCGTTGTAAAAACGCCGAGAGTTTTTTTTCAGTGTACCTATTAGCATCGACCCGTGCCTTTTTTAGGACTGCAGATTCAACCTAAAATTCTGTAGAACTTCGAAATCGCTTTTATTTTAAAAGCAACATGATTCCACCATTCTGCCCCATAAGTATGTAGAGCAGGTGAAGATAGACGAGCCATATATGTCGATTTGGTCCGTCGCCGCCACATTCTCGTGATAGGTGCATCATAGCCTTCCATTGTCTGGCACCGGATGATAAAACTGATGAATGTCAAGGCGAACGCACACTAAATTGAATTGTTACGTCAAGTCTCACACTCACCCAGCGTTGCCATTTTAGTAATTAATTTAGGTGGAACTTCGGTCTTGTCAATAATCCCACTTCCATGAATTTTCCTTCTACTCTACACTTGTATTCAGTGTTTAGAGGAGAAAGGAGACGCCTATTCAGGGAATTAGCCACTGATGGACAAGGTCTAAAAACGTCTCAGATTTCAAGAAAATGCCGCTTGTTTCTTTTTCAAAATTTTACATATGTAGACAACAATTCACAGGACGAGAAGTTTTGAAATCAACTCCTAACCGAGATATCGACAAGTCTTTTAAACATGGATTAAGTGGAAGCTCGATAATACGAATGACGTCACTATTGTATTTTTGCCGTCCAACCCATGTTGATGGACATCACTTAGGTATACCTATCTTGTTCAGAAGTTGATTCTCAGATAACCTGTTATGTGATTCGTTTTCCTTGTAAAATTTTGAAGAGGAGCGTTGTACTTTAATTTATATCCTATCTAGAGGCCCAAAACCACCATGAGTTCCGACCAGTCGGAACGTTAGGAAAAACCATGTTTGAACTCTCAAAATTGGGCTTTGTTGCGCGGTAGTTCGATGTTAAATGTTCCGAGGTGTTTGGATGAACGTTAAGCCATGGCCAATAAATTAGAGGCCCGGAAAATACGTTCACATGCACTAGACAGGGTATAATACTGAGAAGATACATTTTAACTGATGCACCTGTATTTCGAACGCACAAGAGGAAGAGAGAAAAAAAAGCAACCCCATATGGTACGTATTGTTTCAAGTGGTGAATTCCAAGTCTCTCTGAGTTGCATGTACAAAACCGAAGGCGCTGCAGCCACTTCAATGCCAACATTTGGATGCAACTATTCGTGCTCATCTGATGTGTGTGTTGCATATCCAAAGGATTGACGGCGTTCTCGTGGACTCACTAATAATTATCGCATCTAGTTTGAACCAAAACAAATGGGCTTAAAGTTTTATTCCTTCATAACCGAATGTATCGGACTTTCAACGACTATTTTCACAGTCAAAATTTATATTCTCTGGCTGCAGATTCCTAGACTATCAATAGAGGAATAGAAGCCCAAAAAAAAATCACAAAAAAATATATCTATTCTCGACTTTGAATACTTACACTGGAAAAAAAAACACATTGGATCTAGAGTCCAGACTCATAAAAACATAGACAAGAAAAAATACTCATGATTCAATCGGATTTTTGCTTAAATCAAGAACCAAGCCTCTTAATTTGAACGGACTTCCTTTTGATTTAAGCTTAGATCTTATTGAATCAAGAGTATTTTTTCTTGTCAATGTTTTCAAGAGTCTTGACTCTAGATATCCAATGTGTTTTTTTTCCAGTGTAGCATGAGAAAATGTACGACTAGATGATTTAAAAACTACCCTTAACTCAGTTTTTTCCCCAAAATGAGACTTGGTGTGCTGTTGAATTCGATCCAAACGGATCGTGTGACTTCTAATTGGAGATATGGCATCCTGAGAAGCGGGCGCGCCCGGCGCCATTTGAAGCGTCGCGTGACCCACCCCGATTCTGAAACACCTCATTTTTCTCCGGTCAAGATGACCCCTGGAGTGATGACTCGGCGAGCACGGGCGTCTCATCTCGCTAATGAGACCGCGGTCTCGGTTCCTGTTTCGCCTTCGCCTTCGACGCGCGGATTCGCGTGGTTAAAGTCAACGCAACCCGTCTCACGCGAAGCTGGAACCAGAGGAAAACGAAGATAACGAACGAGGAATAAACCAACACCCTTGGAATAAAAATATCCAAGGAGCAGGCAGAAAGGCATGAAGTGGACCGCGTTAAGCAGAAAGGAACCAAGCCACATCACACTGAAAAAAAAAATCTCGTTGTATTTACAAAGAAAAGGGCAAAATTACCAAGAATTCAAAGTTCTATTTGATCCCAGTTTTTTCTTGGTAAAATTACCATTTATGGAATTAATCTCGGTAAAATTATTGAACTTTCTAGGTAATTTTACTGGACCTTGGTAAAAACGCCAATATTTTTTATCGACTGTGGCAGAATTACCGAGATAAAATGGCAAAGTTACCAGGAATTGATTACCAATAAAAGTGGTATTCTTACCCCAAAAAAACAGTAAAATACCGGTTTTTAGGTAAGCTTACCAGTCTGTCTTGGTAAAATTACCAATAATTGGTAAAAAAAATTGAGATGGTAAAGGTACAAACGGACCGTGGTAAAAATGCCGAGAATTTTTTTCAGTGTGAGCAACTTAATTTTTAGGGGAAAAAAGTTTGTGCGGATTTCTCGGAAAATTGTAAGGAATTTGGTTCGTAATATGCCAAAAATTCACTGCAATTTGCAGCATAATCCGCAGAACCGATTTCATGTACAAAATTAAATTGTTCAGTTAAATTTGGCAATAGCTGATGTAGCTTAGTTCCTTTCTGCTAAGCGCGGTCCAACTAAAAAATGAAATTGAGTCATTCTGTGTCCGTGGTGTGCTTAGAGCTTTTTTACGTTGGGACGTAGGCAGGTTCCACGGTGAAAAATGTCCGCTTGGCAGGGCGGAGAGGCTCACGAGTCCAGAAAATCACGAAAAAACATGTGTTTTGGGGGAAATTTTCTTGTTGTAGTCGGGTATTATGGGGGTCTGAGCCTCCTTCCTCTTGTTATGCCTCTGTTCTTTGTAGAAACGACTTATATTCTTTTTAGTGCTGCTCTTATGTTGAACTTGGTGCGTCATTTTGAGCTTACCGATTTGAAAGCTGGCTTGAAATTTTATTCCTAAAAATGTTCCAAATTTTTTAGTAATTTTTTTTAAAATTACAATCAACACGTGTGTCAGTCTAGTTTACGACAGACACCATGCGTGAGCAGCACAACAAATA